TATGCTCCACCTCAACGGGAATCTCTTCTTGCTCCAACTCTTATCCACAATTTTCATACTTCGATCAAAGTCATCAGTTTTCTTGAAAGCCATCTCAGTGTCATTGAAAACTACATCTTGACTTATGATACACCTCGTGTAACCTGGCTCTAGGAACCACAACCTATAAGCTTTAACTCCTTCAGGTTATCTAAGGAACATACATCTCAGATTTCTAGGTTCAACCTTGTCTTACCTAATGTGAGCATATGCTACACAACCAAATACTCTAAGTTTGTCAAGTTTGGTGGATGACCATACCAAACTTCTCCAGGTGTCTACATCCCCAAAGTAGTCGAGGCACACCTATTTATTAGGAAGTTGTAGTCATGATTGCCTCATCCCGAAAAACCGTCTTTAATCCCGCATTAACCATCACTCACCTCACTATTTCTAGAATGGTTCAATTAAAACTTCCAGCCAAACCGTTTTGTTAGAAAGTGCCTACAATAGTTTTGTGTCTTACAATACCAAACACATCACAATAGTTGTTGATGACAGTTTGTCATTGCATCTAATCATTAGAAGAATCAGGGGGAAATGAGAGAAATATTAGCTAAAATGAGGAATAAAAACCAAATAATGAGTGAAAAATAGCTAAGTATGAAAGAATGAGACTTAATGAAAATTCTGGTGCAAAAGGGTGATTTTCCACGTAGTTACAAGAATAATGACCCACACTATTGCGTGCGCGATAGAGGCGACACAGGTGCATCGTGCGTGATACTTATATAATGCACGTGATGATTGCTTTTTCTGGGCTTATTTGACGCATTCTAACCCATTCTGACAATTTTAAAAGGGGATTTTCTGCTTTTTGATAAGGGTTACAAATTGTGGAGAGAAAAACACAAATTTGGGAGCACAAAAGGAGATTTTTAGAGAATTTAAAGCCATTGGAGGCCATCTCTTCAAGGGAATTCTCATGTTATTTCTATCTATCGATTGTGGTATTTTCTTATAAAAATTTGTAGCTAAATGTTTTTAGGTTAGGTTGTGTGATAATGACCTTATTCAATCTTGTTGGCATTATATGTTGTTTTACTTTGTATGAATCCTTTGAATTATAATTTTATTCATTTGTTGCTTATGCTTAATGTTTTTTATTTGAGATACTCTATTAATCTATTGTTAGACACATAGGGATTCCTGACCCGTAGCCTATGTGTTGGACCTAGGGAAACTATTCTACTTACGCTAGCTGAATAGGGATAGGGGACCCCGAGTAGTGGCATAGGGAATTAACGGTATGTACATTGCCTAACACTGCTTACGCTAGCAAACTAGGGATAGAAAGCTCTGAGTAGTTGTTAGTGAGTTATTTCATGGGGGACTAACTATAACAATTTTGTTAATTCGCAGCGAGATTATAAGGATGAGACCATTCATGCAAAAACATCATGCATCAACAAGAGAGGATAAGGGGATTCTAAAACACAACTTGACCGCTTTTGTGACATTGTTTTCTCGTTTATTTATCTTTTTCACTGAAACTTGCAACCCCCTTTTTATTGTTTTACTTTAAATTGCACAAATCATTGTCTTATTCAAACACATTCCTTGTTGGTTCGATCTTTTTATTACTGAGACATTATCTGTACACTTGCCAAGAAGTCATCATCTATCAAAAGATTCATTTTAAAATTCAAGACCATTGTTATTCCTCAACCTATTTACCTTCCTGCCAGTTTGGTTTTCGACCAGAGTCTTCCAACTATTTAAATTTTCAAAGGTTTCATCCTTAACTTTCAGAATGACTACCCACAACTTTTATGAGTAATCATCAACTATGGATATAAAATATCTTGCACCTGAGTGTGAAGGATTTCTTGCAGGTCTCCAAAGATCAGCATGGATATAATCAAGGGATCTATGTGTTCTTTGTTTACCATTGTTAAACTTCACCCTACAGGATTTGTCAAATACACAACGTTCACAAAACTCCAGTTTTTCGACCTTATCACCATATATCATATTTTGTTTCGACAATTTGACCAGGCCTCTTTCACTGGCATATCCAAGTCGTGTGTGTCATAGCTCATTCTTCAATATAGGTTTTGTGGATGTCACATATGTTGAACCACTTATAACCTCAACCTCAATGGTATATATGCATTCTCTCTCGATGTCTCTTAAAACTTCCTTCGACACCTTCATTATCCTTAGGATACTTTGCTATCCTTTAAAACATATCCTTTCTTGTTAAATTTACCAAGAGAAATCAAATTCCTCTTAATATCAGGTACATACTTGACATTAGTCAATAGCCTTATTGACTCATTACGAAGTTTGAATGTGAGAGATCCAATTTTTGTAATCTTGCAGACTCTATTGTTACCCAACATCACTGATCCCCCATCTTGATCACATAATTCCTCAAACACGTCTTTGTTTGGAGTCATGTTACAAGTACAATGTGAATCCATAATCCACTATTTGTTAGAGTCATTGCTCGAAACCACCAGGACGTCATATGATTCATAATCATCCTGCACAATGGATGCATTACCATTATCATTTTCATGATTTTTCAAACGTTCAGGGAACACCTTTTTGGTGTGACCTTCCTTCTTTAAGTGGTAACACCTAATAGTAGAAACATTACCACCATAAAAATTCTATATAATTTTACCATTCTTCTTCTCAAATCTATCATATTTCTTCAAGAATTTTTCATTTAAGAATAATCTTTCATCAATATATGATTACTTGTGCTCCTTTCTTTTATTTAAATTCTTTAAGTACAACGCTGATTGAACTTCTTCAAAGGTCAAGGACTCTCTTCCATACAAGAGGGTTTCTTTGAAGTGGATATGAGATTGTATTAAAGCACACAACAATAGCGACGCTTGGTCTTCATCATCAATCTTGACCTCGATAATTTCAATATCAAGAATTAACTTGTTGAACATATCAAGCTGCTTAGTCAAGACTTTGTCTTCACTCATCTTGAATGAATACAGAGTTTGCTTCACGTAGAAACGGTTGACCAAAGATTTGCTTATATACAATCCCACAAGTTTGCTCCATACATCCGTTGTCGTATTCTCCTTCGATACCTGCCAAAGAACCTTATCACCAAGCCTCAATATGATGGCGCTGTGGGTTTTCTCAATCATCATCGTCTTCTCCTTCTCCGTTAGAGAATCATTCATCTTCTCTGATCCTTTCAATGCTTCAACAACCCTACTAAACCAGTAGGGGTTGCATCTTCAAGTGCCACAAACCGAAATCATTCACACCGGTGAATTTCTCAATCTCATACTTTGTCGACGACATCTTCTCCTCCATGTTCACCGCACAATTTATTGTGAAATCGATGCCCAGAAAATAGAGTATGATCGATTTTTTAATTAATAAGAAAACCACAAAGTAAAGAAAAAAAGAGAAGAGAAAGACAATTCAAAGTGGTTAAAAACTGGATTCTTAATAGAATTACACATTAGAGAATAATGTTTACAATTGAATCTCAATCATGTCACTTTCTTCCTCTGATTAGAATTATCAAGGATTGATGGAGAAATTATTACTAGTATGCTATTTATAAAAAAAACTAAAAATCCTAACTTTTAACTAACATATTAAACAATTGGTCCCATAGAATAAGTCAATTTAACATGCTAACTTAAACAACAAGTTAATATATTTCAACAGCTACACTAACTCGTTGACTTTGACAAAAACTCTTTGATTTTAACCGAATTTGCTACAACACTAACTTATAACATATAAACTACATAGTTAAATTCAACCCACATGCTCTAATAGACACAAACTCCTATATATGCTTTATCTTATTTATCATATGTTGTTGTCAGATTATGTGCAATTTTTTAACTTATTCAACAAACACAAACTCCTTATACATCCAATTTATCAGAAGTTGTTTTGAGATACTTGAAATGTGAATTGATATGTTTATATATATATATTCTGCCGTCAAAGACAATGACATTGAGTTTATTAAACTTGTTGCGTATTTGAATTGCATACTTTGCTTGTTTCCTCCATAAATTCATGCATAATTCGGACACAAGTAATTGACTTCGCCTCTTGATTTAGAAAACTTCATGAATACATTACATCCAACCTAATCACTTTAAAATATGGATTCATTCTGTTTTTCAGGAAATATCCTGACAATGTTTTGGACACACTAAATGTACTATTTTTGTTTGGTTCATTTTTTACTAAAAAAAGCTTGAAAATCTTTTACAAACTAATTAATTTACTAAACATTAAATTGATTTTTTTTTGTCGAGAAATTATACGTTTTAGAGTCTGTGTTTGAAAATGTAAATTGAAATCAATTTTGATCGTATCAATGTTTGATATTAATCAGAAGATACTGATATTTTAGATACTTTAATTTTATCATATTTATGAGTATTTTGATATTTTATGCTAGATAACATAAATTATTTATGAAACCAGGGTGGAATTTCATCTACTTGCTGCTTAAGTTGAGTTGTTAATAATACACAATTTAATATCTTAAGCAAAACATAATGGAAGGCAAATAAAATATGACTTAGATTATTCATCACACCAACATTAAGCTGTCATGTTGTAATTTAATCCAATACCATTTAAATAAATTGAAAATTAAAAAATATATATGTATAACCAATTTTAAGAATAAAGTTTCTGTTTTTTATAGCATGAAAAGCACTATAAAAATTTATGCAAATAATAAGCATAAACAAACTCAAACAAAAATAAATAATAACATGTTCATAACTAAATTCAATATCTTACGATCTAATTGCGGTTGATGAATGGAATTTATAACTAAGATATTAATGATATATTATCGGAGTTATCAAAAAAGAGATTAAAACTACTTTATATCATAAGTGATTTTTGAAACAGATTAGTCGGTTTAATCGGTCTAATGAACTGAATATCGATAGTTAAAAAAAAAACTAACATTTATGTACCTTAGAAAGGTGAAAATTGGATTATACATCTACAAATGACTTTTGTAGAGACCTTTTTTCTCTATTCACAAACCATTCAGCTGTTCTTCTTGCAATTGGAAACCAAAGCTTCCTCATTCTCTCCTCTTTAACATCATTTTCAACCAATGAAGAATCTCCAAACACCCTTTTCTTCATATCAAATTCTCTAAATCTAGAAACACCAGTGATTTCTGAAACTGATCTTTTCTCACCTTCATCATGTTTCAAATATTTTTCTCCATCATGAAAATTCGATTCCGTGTTGTTGAATCTATTACTCGATGTAGCATTAATCATCTCCGAATTCAAAAACATAAGATCCGAAGAACTAACATTACTCCATCTATGCTTAAACACAACATCAGATATAGTAATCTGATGATTGTGTTTGTGAAAATCTCTATAACACCAACACTTCTGATTAAAAGTGTTACTAGAGTCATAATCACGATGCTGACATGTGTGATTACGTTCTTCTTCTTCTTCTGATTTTTTTTGTATGAGCGATTCTTCATCCTTAATACTACTTTTCCCAATTTTTCTAAAGCTACTTCCAATACTAAATCTTGATGATGAACCATGTTGATTTTCTTTTTCTTCTTCTCTTTGGACAAAGATCTCTATATTTGATTCATCACCTACCAACATCCTTAAACTACTTGAATATGCAAAGGTTGTTTCATCTTCAATGTTGACTTTATGTCTACAAATAGGACAACTTGAATGTTTTTCAAGCCAATGATCAATACAAACAATATGAAAAGCATGTTTACATTTTGGCAACAATCTTAAAATCTCTATATCTTCAAATTTTGACAAACATATTGAACATTCCAACCCTTGTTTGGAGCCTTTAAGAGAAGAGAATCTAAAAAAAGGAAGTGACTCTATAGCTGTTTTGTCAATACCTGAAAATCTTGACCTTGATCTCATGAATGTTGATTGATTATTTGGATCATCACTAAGAGGAAGTAATTGTCTACGATGACATACTTTGGCAAAAATAAGAAGAATGAATGTTAATGCAAACATTAGACCTAGGATTGACATGACAACAGCAAGACTTGGTTGGAAATTTGAGACAGCATCTTGTGAAGAAGAACTTTGTGTTTGTGCTCTAACATGATTGATGAATAAGATTGAGAGAGTCAATAGGGTAATACCAAGTTGATTCATGCTTTCTAATTCTCCCTAAGCATTCTATTCTTTAGGAAAAAACAATAAACTCTAATTGCTGAGTTAAGCTTTAAAGCTTAACAACTTTTATAGTTGATTTTTTATTTTTTATTTAAAAATATGTATTTGAAGGATATAAGGTGTTTGACACGTGTCAATTAATGTTCGACACTATTATATTATATATGAATATATTTAATTAATTAATTAATTACTTAAAATTATAATTGTTGTCAATATGTTAGTGTCATTTTTTGATGTATGTTTATGGATTTATTTATAAATTGTTGGTGTAATATATTTTAAGTCTGGTGTTGTCGATCATTTTCATTTTAAAAATATAATTTTTTCAGTTGCGTGTAAAAATATTTAATTTATATAAAAAGCTATATCTTTTGTATAGTAATTTATTGACAAAAACATTTACTAGTATTTTTTAGAAAATAAATAAATAGAATCTACAATCTTCAATTAAATATCTCTATAATCATCAAAAATTAAAAATAAAAATAAAACTTAAAAAATGAGTAGTGATGGAAAGGTAGAGTGATCCATGGTTGTATTTAATTCTGGTTTTTGACTTTAGAAGATGTCTATGTCATGTCATGCATAATACATGATATTGCCAAATTCACTAGTTTAATCCACACGTCATCTTTTTATTTATATATAGCATTAAAAAAATTTAAAATTTTCATATATTCTCATTCCAAGATATATGTCAATCAAAATGTCAAAGATAGTAAAGTCACAAAAAGAAAAGTGTGAGTAAATTACATTTATGCGATATTGATAAAGTTGAATGGTTAATACAATGATGTACGTTTTTTAATTTAATATAAATAAATTATTTGATATCATAGAGTTAAATTGGGTATTGATATTTTTAGAACAAATTGTTTAAAACTATGAATTCATCTTTAATATATTAAATGGTGAGATTTTTTTTTTAAATTTAAAGCTGAATTCAAACTCATATGGTTAAGTAAAAGAGTTTTGAAATATTAACATAATTATTAATTTGTCATACCAATAAATGGAAAGAATTCAAATGGCATCTATTTGAAAACTTATGAAAATGACAAAAGTTGTTACCACATCACATTCCACAAAGTCTACCTTGGCAACTTCCTTTGAAGCATAGGCACATGAAGAAATGGATTTTAACTTACCATAAATGCTATTACATCCTTTCAAAATATATTATGATCTATTAATCAACTAAAAAAATCCATGGAAAATTAAATTGATACTAGGAATAAAATTTGAAGCTAAAGTTTAAATTGAAGCTAAGGTTTTTTTTTCTTTTGATATAAAAGAGTAACTCTAGTCATTCTAGAAATCTTGATAGGGTAACTAAATTAATGATGTATCAAACAAATATACAAGTGTTAACGATAAGAATGGATTGAGAAAATTCTAAATTCTGTATAAAATTATTTTAATGGGATAAATGTATACATAAAATTCTAACTTCTAAATTCTATTTTATTTATTCAAATAATAAGATGAAACTACAATTTTTTTTTAACTACAATTCTAGAATGAGACACTTGATTGAAATGCATAAATAAATATATATTATCTTCATTCTTTTTAATTTGTATTTTTATTCTCTCTTTTATTACTAGTTACTATTCTATCATTTGATATCATATGAGAATTAATTATGGTGCAAAATTTAATGTGGCGAGGTTTTACAGAACAAGTAATTTTAGATTATGTTAAATAAAGGTTAAGAATTTGTTGGCTCAATTAAATTTATAAAAGGCACTGCATTAAGTGAAACTAACCGACATGACGGATGTAAATTGATCAAAATTGTAGAAGAAGGTTGAGGGATTTATATGCATATGTGTCTTGAATAAGGTGATGTATCTTATATCTCGGACCTGACATCTTTGAATGTGATTAGAGATAAATTAGAGAGTCAGTATATGTTCAAGATGTAGATGAACAAACTGTTTGTGAAGCAGTGACTATATTGTGTGAAGATGCGGAAAGGATTTGATTTGCAACATGTTTATACCTTTAGCATCATAAAAACTAATTTGGTGAGACTTGAGGTTAAGATCAACGATGAAGACAAGACAATTACATTGTTATGCTCGTTACCAATTCTTATGACCACTTAGTGGCCTCTTTTACCTAAAAAAAATAGTATCAGTCTCTATGTAATTTCTGCTACGCTCCTGTCTCATTCTCAAATGAGATAAAATATACAGGAAGGAACTCAATGGTGAAGGTGTGTACGTTGAGGGAGGCCAAGATAATGGGTAGAACAAAGGTAAAGAATGTTTTTGAAAGAAAAGTTCTAAATCTAAGAATAGATAAATAGTGGAGAGTTTTAGTTGCAAATAGATCAGGAATCAGAATAGGGATTGTCCAAATAAAAAGCAGGACTCATTAATTTATGTGAACATGATCTAATTTTATGACTCCTACAATGAAGGATATATACTTTGTGTTTCATCTAACATGGATTTTTACTTTAGATATTTTATCACATGACATTGCGCTTGGAGTGGTTCACCACGTTCAAGTAAGGTAGTTTTTTATTTGTTTGTTTAGTGATGATATGGCCTATGTTATAATTGGATTGGGGGAAAATGAAATTGTCATGGGTGATGGTGAGATGCGAACATTGAATGATGACATATCTATTCAATAATTGGAAAAGAATTTGATTTTCTTTGTAATTCTACATACAAATGATTTATCCTATAATTTTTATGGAGATATGGATATTATAAAGGTCATCAAGGGTGCCTTGACATTGATGAAAGCACATATGAATGCAAGTAACATCTACAAAATATTAAAGAGTAATGTTATAAGTGGTGTTGCGTTTCTTGAGTCTGATAGTCATGCAACCAGACTAAAGATCATGTGTTTAGGTCATCTCAATGATTATGAGATGATAGAACTTTATAAGAGAAATCTATTGAAGTGTATTCACAATTAGAAATTGTATTTTTTGAAATATTGTGTACTTGGAACAAAATGTTGTGTTTGTTTTAAGATTGGGAAGCACAAAACAAAAGGAAACTTAGATTGTGCATGTTCTAATGCGTGGAGCCCTATCAAAGAGCGTTAACTTGGTGGTTTTAAGTATTTTCTGACTTTCAATAGTGGTTTTTCTTGCAAAGTTTGGATATATTTATTAAAGTAGAAATATGAAGTCTTACCAGAGTCAAATTATGGCAGACAGAGATAGAGATTCAAATGGGAAAAATATATCAATTATTCATAGTAAGATAATAGAGAAGAATTCATTGATTCAAAAATTGAAAAAATTATGTTAAACACAATATTTAGAGACTTTTTTTTCGAAAGACACCATATTATAATGATGTGGCCGAAAAAAAGAACAAGTCACTAAAATAAAGGGCATGATGTCATTGGATGAACGATGGATTCTCAAAGAGTTTTGAGATAGAGGGAAATTTTCTTAGTGTTCTATCTCATCAACAAGTCACCACATACTTATTTGGAGGGGAAGGTTACAATAGGTATGGACAAGTAATCCCATTGATCTTAACAATTTTAAGATTTTAGAGAGTCTGATGCATGTGCATATAATCAGTGAAGATTGACTCAAAATTTATCTAAATTCAAAGAAGTGTGACTTATCTAATTACACAAAATGAGTGAAATGACTCAGAGATATAGTTTCAAAGAAGATGGTTATTAGTCCAATTGGGTTATGTTTTTCATGTTAAAGTAGTTATTTGCAATAAATGTATCAATATCTAAATGAAACGAGGTGATTCAAGTGAAAAATGATTCATTATCAATGAGAAATATGTTAGTAACACATGAACCTTAAGATGAACTAAAACTTGATACAAAAAATCATCATGGCTTGAATATTCATGTGGAGTACATGATTATTCTCTTGTATGTGTCAGAGAGCATTGTTAGATTAAGCCATCAGAAAGATGTGAATATGAAGACTTGACAACTTATGAACTTCTTACCAACTTTGAAGATTTGTTCACCTTTTGATGTTTGTTGTTTAATGTATCTTATGGTTTGCACTAGACTAAATTTGACACAAGTTATAAGTCAAGTTTTCAAGTTTGTGTCTAAACTAGGTGAGTGTCATTGGAAAACAGTCAAATGAAGTTTCAACATGCCATTATATCATGTTTAACAGTGACATGGTGATGCTTTAGTTGTATGATATGTTGACTCAGACTATGCCTTCGATATGGATGATATGAAGTATATAACATAATATATCTTTATTTTTGCAGATTGACTTATATGTTGGAAATCATCAATTCAATTTATAATGTTTATGTCTACAATTGAAGCAAAGTACATGACATTAGTTGTGGTTGTCAAAGAAACCTTATAGGTTACATGATTGGTTAGAGAATTAGGTGTTGAGGAAGGTAGAGTTCATTTGCATTGTGATAACTACAATACCATTTATTTGACAAATAGTCAAGTGTACCACGTTAGAATCAAACATATTGATTTGAGATTTCACAAGATCACAGAGTTATTTGTATCTAGAAAGTTATTACTTAAAAATATTCATATTTCCGAGATTACAACTAATATGTTAACCAAGTTAATCATTAGGGATAAGTTCAAGCCTACTTAACCTTGTTAAAACTTCTTCAATGTTATTTAGAAAGTGTTGTACTTTCATGTTTCCACAATGTGAATGTCATAAAAAAATCTTTATATAGTTTGATAGTCATCAAAATAAAATATAATAAATTCGAAACTAAAGTGTCTTTACGAGATAAAAATTTAGAATTTAAAAAAAAAAAGAAAAGAAAAAGACAAATAAATTTATATGAAATCAAAATATTATCAATACTCTATTATTATCATGAATCTTTCACTCTCTTTGCTTTACAACTTATTCTTAGTATATTTTTGTCCAATTATTAAAATTAACAATTGTGGCCTAATCCAAGTTAATTGTATAGTTTTGTTGACCAAACCTAAGAAACTTTTAAAAAAAATGTTAAAAGAAAGAA